ACGATGAGCAAATTATCATTTTCGATGGGTTACGCGAGCCAGTGAACGATGACCCGAAACAGTCATCGAGAAAGTGATGAACTCGAATTCCACCCTGATTACCAGCGCGCGCTCCATTAACTCGAATTTCGTGCGAACCAATCGACCGTACTAGTCATCGTTGTTGTAACCCTTTCAAATAGCAAGTCCTTCCTACAATTACCGATTTGCGTGCGCGTGCTTCTATTAGCGTAACGATTTAACGCAAAGCATATTTTACAATTTATCCACATTGCAGATATATTACGCTCGCTATATATAGCAAACATCGAAATGTACAAAATCGACAAAATCCAAGTGCCAAATATATTACGTGAAACGATATAAGCAACACAATTTCACGTCCGCTGCATTTTGTAGCGCCGCGTATCATGATTTCATTTGAATGCTTTACAGAATTCTGCCGACCGCAATCATCATTTCGCGTCTAACAAAAACGAATTTGGGGACATCGTAATTTAAGAACTTTAATTATCTAAGATTTGTCTCGAATTACTGAAGAACTTTGTTGCTCTTGTCCGGAAAATCATAGTATTGTAATTATATAAAATGTACGCACAAAACAATTTTCACATTTATCCCTATCTATTCAATGATAGATTAAATGTCTATTTAATGGCTCCTGATTGTCTTTTAAATGCATTACATATTCAATCAATCGACAATCGCCGGGCTTAAAGCTCATAAACACGCACTAATTAACTTCGGCACGTGTTACTCCATTTAACCTAAATCGCTGGAACGCCATGTATAAATCATTAAGCATTAAGCGCACTAATTACATCTGTTCCTAAGCAGCTACATTAACGAACCGTGCTGAACTGGTCCCGCCGCTCTGGGAAGACAGTACGAATTTAGTATCACGGCATTACTCCGCTGAGCACTTAACGATTCTTAAAACGGGTCAAATAGGTCAAAACGTATCTAATATCGCGAGCGTTCGCCTCGGAAGATCGCGGCTTTTCTTAAATCGGGTTAAAATCGGTCAGCGGCGCGATCGATTATAGCGCCAAAATAAATCTGAGGTAAGAATACGTGCAGGCGCGAGAAGGGAACACATCGCGTAAAGTAGATTGAATTTTATCGCCGTGGCAAGCCATTTCCACATTTTTGAGACGCTGATGCGTATACGCGCGCGCATTTATGCACATCGTGATGCATCGCGATGCACATTGTGAGGAGGAGAAGGAGGAGGGGAGGGGGGAGGGAGGAGGCGGGGGAGAAAACGCGCAGGAGTTAAACGAGTCCGTTACCGCGCGCGTTTTTTTCTACGACAGCGTGTTTCGCGGGTTCGGTTGGAGCCGCTTCTTTCCGGAGCAACGCCGCCGCGCCGCGGTGAATCATTATTTATTTTTGTGTTTCACGCTGTCAAGTGGCGGTGAGAGAAACGAACGAGGGAGCGACGGTACGGAAAGGGTAGGGGAAAAAGGGCGCGAGAGTGAGCGGGCGAAAGTCGGAGGGAAGAGGATGCTTCGGCGAGCGCCGCGCGCTCGAGTAATTATTACGGATTTTCCGGATCTAATTCTCCGGACGGTAACACGACACAATTCACTCACGCAGATTGCGCACGAGAGGATGTAAATTCCTGTCAGTCGGACGGTCCATTTCATCTCCTCTTTTTCGCCGGAGCTCCTAACCGACACCGAGGTCGGAGCCGGACGATTATTCGGTTTTCCACTTTCTCCTCGCCTGTTCTTCGCCCTCCCGCCCTTTCCACGCTCGTTTCGCGCCCTCGTGCCTCTATCCGACGCTTCATGGCTTTTAACCATGATTTTACATATCTCGCGTGTATCTTCCGAAAACGAAACGAAAGTCGAATTTGAGCTGCGATTACAGATTTATGGTATTAGTATCGGCATCTTTTTTTAATCACAAGAGAGTCGGAAAAAATTCGGATATCTTGACGATAACAAATATATCCACGGTCTAAAACAATCAACATGATTCGTTATATGACTCTAAAATTAATCAAAGTTTATTAAAAATTTCCACAAATGTACATCAAGTGCACACCTACTATTAATATCTATCTGGCTGAATTAATTATTATAGATACAAAATAAAATAAAGCGAAATTTGCGAATGCAATGCCATCACGATTGGCGTTGTCCAAGTTATTCGTTCCCGATTTACGTGTCTTCCCATCGGTTCCGAAATATCCACTCAAGAAAGTAGATCCATATTCAAGGCTGCCTATTTTTATCCACAGGCAATCGGGCATCGACATATAGATGTATATACGAGGGATCGTTAGTATGCCATAAGGCACTAATCGTCCACACAAAAAAAATGCCGTGATGTCAGTCGATCGATTTTATCTCCCCTCATCGTGCGCAACCCCTTGAAATGCATGTTAAAGCTACACATGCCGACCATGTGGTACAATTATACGAACACTCTCATTCCTATCTCGAAATTTTACTCGCTTGGCGGCTAGGCTAAATCAGGTGATATTGCCTTGTCCCCGGGAAGATGGTGAGGGCCGTAATGCCATTCGCGCTATGTATTTCGCGCGATTATTCGCGCGTTGCCTAATTAAACGCTCGCCGCTCCGAATATCATGTTCAACCGGCTAGATCTAGATATTACTCAACGAGCATGCGTGCGTCAACGCATAAGCGCGTGAGGCGGTACGATTGTGTACGGGCGGTCATTAAGGATGCCAAGGGCCACTAATCGTCATCAGAGACGTATTCACCGGCGCGGCGTCCTACACAGAAAATAAAATTGCCTCCCCACCCGCGCGCCGGTCAATGGACATAATGATTATTTTCTGCGGTATAATGAGCCCGGAGCCGCGCCACCGCCGCATCGTTGTGTCTACGCGGTGGAAAGATAATAAAAGATTCAGGTCAATAGCGGTGTAATGAGGTATCTGGAATCCATCAAGGATTCATACGCTGAACATACATAATAAAGACCGCACTGGTTAACGTATAGGTACGTATAAGCGCGAAATGCAATTTGCGAGGAGAGAGAGTGTGTAGGTGTGTGTGTGTGTGTGTGTGTGTGTGCGTGTGTATGGTCGCCGCACGCCGGGACGATCGCGAAATGCGTATCAGCGGCTTCACTTAGGATTGTCTGTTGCCAGCGAACCGTTATTTGTACATGAGGTAGAATGTATCTTTGTTACGTCTATGTATGTTGCGGTAAGGATAAAACTCGGAGTTATCATAAACGGCATGGAAAGGAATTATTTATTGCGGCGGATAGCATTCTCACGAAAGCTGGATAACATCAATAGTGATAATGTCAGCTAACGTAATTTACTCGCGCAACGCCGTGGCCGCAAATTGAATCGCTTGGACTAACCGCATCGAAATAAATGGCGAGGTCGCAATTTAATAAGGACCAGTCACCATCTTCCGGTGATTAATTCTTGCTAAAAAGTTTCAGCAACTTTACAGACTCCTTTCTCATGGATCTTAACTCCTCGGAGTCATTCTTGCCAACCGCCAGCCTCCACCCCTCTCATCCACCGGCGAAGTAAACTTTTAATCCTCTGCTCCCTGAAGAACTTTCTACCCCTGTAAAACAGTCGGCAACGACACCGTTTCCATATTTGACACATCGACACCTGATATCCTTAATTTCTAACTACTTTATTATTTAGCGCTCTTTTCTTATTTATATAGTTTTTTTACAATGCCGGATCGATCGTTTTAATTTAGTCACTTGTCTCAATCTCAAGGTAAAAACCTTATTCTTTATATCTTAATCTTGTGCAGGTCTGATAGCGCGTATTAAGGACGATAGAAAAATTATTTTAAAAATGTGCAACAAAATAAAACGTATATTTGTTTTCTCTTGGATAATTAATCGATTAATACGTGGACCTGGATGCACTTTGGCCGGTACGAAGTTCTGTATCTGCAAATCGTCCTCAAAGGAGCGCCTCGTTAGCTTAGAGGGTGAAACGCGAAAGTGGGCGTATATTGAAACCAGTTGCCAACAACTTGGACAATTATAACGATAATTGCGACATATATTATGCTAATACCGCGCGCCCGTTTCGGTATCCGTTCCGTCTTTATTCGCGAAGTTCCGCAAAAGAAATACGGTGGAACTTTCTAAACAGCCACTCGGCATGCGACGATCGATTTCCCCTCTCACACACACGACGCGCGGTGTGCACCACGTGGGTGTGAGAACGGCTGATAATTAATAAACACCCGTTCGAATGTGCACGTTATGTGACGGATTTATCTAAGCGGCCGCTTATAGAGCTCCGGCTATTTATTCGGGGATCAATTATGACAATAATCGTTCTACAACGGCGGACACCTCTCGCGGACACGATAACGTCGCGGTATCAAGATCGAAAGACAAGAAAAAAAAATCCTGTCGGCGACGTGCGCGCGCGTTTGTTTAACATTTAAACGCTATGCCGCGGGACGGCTTTAAATAAAAACGGCATGCCGCGGGACGGCTTTAAATAAAAACGGCATCGAATGAAAAACGAGGAGCCGTAAACCGGCTTGCAGGGCCTTCCGATATTTTTTTTTTTTTCGACTGGATACAAGTTATTACGCGACGCTTGGCACAGCCCCCGCTTGAAATCCCCGATGCCATTAAAATAGAAATGGGAAACCCGGACCTCCCAATTCCAGCATAATATTGTGATTACGATATGCACAGACGCTTTATATATATACGCGCGTACGCCCGCGCGAGAACTCCAGAACCGGGAGAGAATGCCCCTTGCCCAGTGTACATCCAATATCAGAATCGGCCCTTCGCGTTTCCCATGCATTTATTCCTGCATAAGCGACCCTGCCTGCGCGTCATTATATTTTCGGTATCTAATATATATTTTTAACCGCAAGACTCTGCAGCGTTTTATCCCATACACTCGACGACGCCTCTAACGAGATACACGAGCTACAATTCTCGAGGCGATATCTGAATTTTTAATTGTTACGTATGTGTTATTATCCGTTAGAATTAAAAGGTAAAATATATCACGTCGATAACACATGTTGACGATCAACACGCGATTTTAATAAATGGATTAAGTAGCCGAGGGCACATATATTAATTCGTGACGCTACACCATTTGCTTGCATAAGTTCTGACATATCTGTATGAACAAAAATAGCATTGTTGAACAATACATTATCGATTTACGCCAAGTTTTATATCGGACGCGAAAATATGTCTCGGAGTGGCGCGCGGCTGCATATTTGCTGCTGCTAGAGGGTTGCGCTTCATGCTTGCTGTGTGTTTATTCCTGCCCGTGCCGGTCTGTCGTTATTTCTCCAACGCCTAATGTATGTTTCAGCAACACGTATCCGTCTGCTCGTCGCTTTAAATTCCGTAGTATATATCTCCTAAAATTTTTGCATCTTTAACAGATGTAATCGTAAGTCATTTCCCTCGTAATATTCGCTTTTTTCTTATTATTATGTCCTCGCGCGCGATTTCGGTCAATTCGCACAATTGCCCACTTGAATTCGCGAAAGTCGCGAATCGGCTGTGCGAAGAGAAAAGACACAAAATATTTATATTGATGTCAATTCAATTTCGTTTAAACTCATACTGTTTCCATGGGTATATTACTCGTTTCTCTTCTTTTTCCTTTGTTCGCGGCTTCAAAAATCCGCGGAATTCTAGAGAGTAGTGTTCGCGAAAAAGAGAAAAGGGGGGGAGAGAGAGAGAGAGAGAGAGAGAGAGAGAGAGAGAGAGAGAGACAGGTTGCTACACGGAATACAAAACAAAACTATCGCTTACGCGCGCAGTATCACCATAAATCCCAAGTGTATGGCTACGTAGGTCGTATTCGCGCGTGAGATAGTGCTCGGAGTGGAGAATGTATCAAAATCAGGCGCGAGGTTGCTTTATGGACGGGAACGCTCGTAAATACGCACTTCTGGTACTCCTGCTCGACTACGGAACGGCCGAGACTCCGGAGAAACTGCCTGGATACGTTAGGCGATAGAGAAAGGGCTACGAAATAGCTTCTACGGGATGCTAATAAAAGATAGAACTGGCTAGATAAACTCACGCCGGCGATACCGCTTCTCGCCTATCCACGCTAACGCCATTGTTCCGGGCCTTTTGACCGACGTCGACGGTGAGAAGCAATTGATTATCGAAACATGACACTTATACTTGAGTTTAACTCCAAGATCAATTTGAATTTCTTACGGCCGGTTATAGCGGTCGACTCTCACGTTAATCTTGATTAATTTTTAATTTCGATTAAATAACTATCATTAAAGAATTTTCTTTATTATGTGTATCTGACTTTATATTTTAAATGATACAAAAAGAGATCATGAAGCGTGAATCAGAATCAATTAATGCAGATTTTTGGTGCAATTCAGCCAGAACAGTTGCGATCGTATCGTAACTTTCGTTTAAACGAGACATGGCGGAAATAATTCCATTATGGCATTACGCAGGAAAAAAAGCATGTATTATTGTCCCGTATCTGTCTTGAAATCGCCAGCGGCGAAAATCGAGCCTCGGGAATACATTTTTAACATTAATACAAATTTTTATTATTTTTTTTATCTTGGCAAAAAAAAATCCCTTTTATCGGAAAGTAATTACATACTGCATAATATATAAATGTATCTAAACCGGTAGCCCTTGTTTCCGTGTGTTCCGATGAAAAATTTGCGCTCCATGTTTAAAAATTAATATGAAATTTTTTATTACTTTTTATCTCGGCAAAAAATCTCTTTTATTGCAATATAAAATAATTACGTATTTTATAAAAAAAATTTTACGTAAAAAGGGATATGTTACGATCCAATCCGAAAATGAAAAAATTGATCGTATATTAAATATTGTCCGGTCGGTTGGCACGTCCGGCGCGCGAGTTCGCCGCGCGAGCAGCGCGAGGAGCGAGTATGTATCGATGAAAAAGCCCCTTCTAATGTCGGTTTCACGAAGGTAATAATGTGCTAAAAAGCAGGTGCCAGGACTTTACTTAGGAAAAACGCTTTGACAATTCCAAGGCGTTAAACGAACACGCGAGAGATCGAAAGCGGAATTCTTAAACGATGACGGTTAACAGATACGAACCTACGACGAGCGTTTCGCACGCATCGCGAATGTAGTGCACGCGTTTTACACGCACGCTCTCCGCAAAAGCGGAGTAGATTGACATTTTCAATCGCTCACGAACCGTTATTAAAACGTCATGTACACGGACGAGCGGCCGTCGCTTGACGGGAAAATTTGACTTACTGGATCTCGGCTGTCCCCCCGATTGCCCGGCCTGCCTTGCACGACTGTATTTTGCTTCAATCAATTACAAAATGTTGGCGGCCGGCTTAACGACAGGCGCACCCGCGAGATGCGAGATAGCGAGACTCGATAAGTCGCAGTTGACAAGAGACGGCAGTGATTATCAAGTTTGCGCGACGCTTCTTGCGCTTCTTGCTGCGCTTCCTTCGTGTCGCAGTACATGCGCACTAACAACCTGCAAAGCAAAGAGCTCGAGTGGATATTCATCATTTGCGTAAATTATTTTCATGCTGCTACACAGCTGGTACTTCGCCAAACGGCGATTATTTACTCATGTGTGATAGTTCGCAGATGCCGTCAGATATAGAAAAAGGCGCATAAAATTTTATTAAATTATTACAAATAGCTTAATTAAAATTACTAAAAATTTACGCTCCTGATTCATCTCACCGATTACAATGTTTTTATGTTTTTTTTTTATTTGTGATAATTTTTATTAAACGACAATGCTAATGTCTACTGATTGTCTGCGATTTATGGATTCTCGTTTCTCCTTAATAAACACGTATGTCTAACTCATTCCGCGAAACGCTTCAATTAGCACATTACGTCAGAGCCTTACACGTGCGCCGTGAAGTCAACACAAATCGATTCCTTAGTGTAATACTTAAAGAACGGGTCGAAACTTCTCATTCTCGGCAAGCGAACGATCGTATTGCGCGCACCCAGGAGGACAATCATTCGTAAGATGCGTTCGCACCGCGGGTACGCTAACGGTTCCCTGAAACGTTTTCCCGAACGATTCCCACCCGATTCAAGGCGGCCTGCGGAATTCCCTTACGAGCCGTAGAAACAGTTATACATATCTTCAGCAGACGGGTAGAATGGATCGATGCGCCGTGATCGAAGTATCTTCCGCCGCATACGCGATATGTATGATTTCGTATGAGCGCATACATTCACATTTATACTCATAACCGCATACAATGCCATATCGAAAATTATTTTGGAAATTTAGAATTAAACGCAAAAGAGATAACCTTTAATTCATTAAATCATGAAATTCATAAAATGTAATAATAGTACTTATTCGCTAATTCTCGAAATTTTATATATAAATTTTATAATATTATATACGTAATTATTTATATCGCAGAATAAAAGAGAGAGAGAGAGAGAGAGAGAGAGAGAGAGAGAGAGAGAGAGAGAGAGATTCAGTAGCGCAATAATAAATATATGCAATATTTATATATTAATAAACTGTAATCAATATTCTTTAAGTTTTTCATTTAATATAAAATAAATTTTCAGCACGTTACGTCGGCAAGATTCTTTCTTATAATTTCTTGTATACATGGCGATCTTTGATACTGATATCAGTAAAAAAAATCTAAGCATCACATCCGAAAACATTCAAAAATTTATAAATTATTTCTAAGCACTTGGGTAATTCGTGTTTGTTTGGAGTGTACGCCCGTAAAGAGGAAAGAGGTCAAAGTTTCAAACGGATACCGTATACGCGCGTTGTTCTTGCGAGAAGAACGGCAGGATGCAGCAGGACACAAGCCGGCCGCGTGAATGCAGGGAGCAAGGTGTTAGTCCGCACGGAATTTCCTACGCTTGATGCCGGATACGAGGCTTAATTGCACCGCCACACAATGTAAATATGCCGCGTCAGTTAACCGTCTGTCCACGTACACGCACGCGTAACACGCACGCGCATGAACGAAACCGACCACTCTGTCACCTACGATAATGCCCGTTGTGTCATCGCTCACTAGTACGTTATCATTCGCAATGTATTCTTGCAAACGTACCCGCGTCTTTCTCACATTCATCGCTATATACGACTTTGTGTTTAATTTTCCGCGTCTACGGCTAATTGACTTTATTCTCGTTTTCTTACGTACGCGTACGCTTACGTCATAGCGTCGCATCTTTTGGTGTTACATGCTTGCAACAAAAAATATTATTAATATTATTAAATATTAAGTATTATTCAGAAAATTTATGTTAACAAATACCACGAATTTTTTAGTAAAACTAGTGGATTCTTTACGGTTAATCGAGGTGATCATTTCAGTTTCGATAGGTTAATTTGTTTTTTATTGCTGCACTGAACCGTACAGAAAAACTTTCTTTCTCGCTTTCGATAAAATACCAAATATATATCTATTTCACTTTAAGCACAAAGGGTGTATACTGGTTCAGCTGTAAAAAACATACCTAATGTGGAAAGGGACTGCACGGGTGGCGCGCTGAAATTTCTTTAGCTGACGCCCGTATTATTTTAGTTTCGAACGTCTGTTACTCCCGTAGATCCAAGCTACCTGACCACGTATTCCTCTTTTCCTTTCCACGAGGCACCGATAGAGAAACGCAAACAGTATGCACGGTGACCTCGCCGTAGGAAGTTTCTAATCCCTGTGGCGGGCTAACGTTCAAATCTACCATGAGCTCGCCCAGCGGATAGTTACACCTCGGTCCAGAGATACAGGTAATGCCTGTTTACAGATATCGGGGCAAACATTAATACAGAGTAGTCTCGGCGCACACCGGAGGATTATATTATTCTTGGGCAGCCGAACGGTCACTAACTTCGCAATGAAATTCATCCTCCAGGCACGAAGATTGTTTCCATATTTGTTCTCTGTTACGTAACGAACACCTTGCAACAACTATAAATGGATCCGAACGCGATAACGAAGTTAATTTACAAATTAATTCGGTTGTTTATCAACATTACATTTCGATCGAATTTTTTATAAAGCCGGGAGAATACTTACCGTTCGCGTATCCCGCTCGATTAATGCAACCATTGCGCATGGAGCTTCCAAAATCGAATTTTTATAATTGTCAATTTATTACAATACAGACACTTTTGATAGCTTTAGATGCATCGACATTTCCAATTCCATAATTTAAAAGCAAGCTGATATTTGTCACGTTATGTCATTATACGGACAGCGATATACATTGGAGCTTACATAATTAATAATTGTTTTATTTTTCAAAGCCACGAAATTTGTCCGCGAGATAACGCCTCGCCCAGCAATGCGTTCCAAATCTCCCCCTTTTAGAAATGCCGATAAACAAGAAATACACAGACACTTTCGACGTCAACAAACCTATTTCTTATCATTCGCCTTCCATCCCTTCGCGTGAGACTCGAAGGCCAGAGACGAAGGATCGACAGTGACAGTCGCCTCTGAAGAGCGACTGGATGGCACCGACGAGACGCACACTCGTGCAGTATCATCCCTTTCAACCCTGTACTTAGGGTGACCATCTCATTTATATAGTAAAACAGAGTCGCGCAATGGTGAAGCAGGGACGGGAGTTGAGTTTGTTTGTCGAGCAAACGTTTGCCGACGACACCGCCGGACACTGGTGCCTAGCTCGCTCTGGTCCTTGGTACAAGTCTGTCCGGACCACTGGAGGAGGGTACAGGGTGGTGGAAGGGGTGGGGATTTAATACCATCTCCCAGGATGAACAGTGGTGGTCAAATAACTTTGCCAAGTGATTCTCTGCGACGGTATTAATGTGTCTGGCCCTTTCGAATTTCTGCTCCATCGCGAAACGTCGATAATCTGTGGATGGTATCTTTCGTAGGTCATCAAACGAGCTCATCGATTCTACAGCATAAATTGCTTTCGTCTCTTGCCGCCGTTCGCTCGGTTCGAATAATTTTTTATGTCTCGAAATTTATCGAACAAGTCACTATTATTTATAAATTCACACAGCCATATCATATATTCTTTTTTCTTTTCTTATTTCATATGAAAATTAAATATACGATTCAAACTCGCGATTTCTTAAAAAAAAAAAAAAAAACATTAGTCGTACTGAATGAATTGCTGTATAGAATGTATGTAATAAAATATTAGCATCGTTTCTAAGATACGTGTAACAAAGTTTATATACGCGTGACGGTTCGCGAATTCAAGATTCCATTCGTCTTATTCCAAGATCCAAACATCAAGGTCGTAAATCCATCAATAAATCCCTGCGCCCTCCTCGCGGTGACCACATTTGCTTAGGGATAAGAAGCAAAGACAAGCATACGGGGGCGGAGGTGTAAGTCTGTAGGGCAGTGAGGAATGGCTCGGTCTAGCGGGCCTTTAGCCCCGGCTTAGCATGTACTGGAAACACCATCCCCTATCCTTCGTGTCGGGGCCAAGTTATACCCGCAAACAGTCGTACATTAGTGCCTGCAGGAGTCCTGCAGGATTTATAAGGGGCGCCCGCGGGCGCACGGGAGGCTATGCGGCCGTCTCCCGATGGTTAAAACTAGAAGAGACGAAGTGCGGGCAGGGGTATGGGAGAGCGAGGGAAGATCCGAGAGGAGGTCAATCCAGCAGAGAGGGCACACTGCGAAAGCTTCACGAGATTCTAGATAGCGGCGTTGACCCGTTGTTCGATTAATAATGAATTTACTGATCTCTATAAAATTTGCCGATACTATTCTTCATCTAATCCAATCGCGTTACGAGGCGGCAAAGCGTTTTCCGCGAGCCTCGCGTTGGAAATTCCATATCTTATCGACATCTCAGATAGTACGAGAACTCATTTTGACATTAGAGAGTCAAAGTGCAATGCCTACCCCTCCCCTCCCGTCGACTGTGCCGAAGTGTTTCCCCGTTTCTGCGCTTTAACGAGCAATTGGCACACGCCAGAAACGGACGAAACACCAGCGACGAGCTTAAACTCGCTTCTGGAGTCTCTAAGAGTTCCATTCGGTACGTGAGCACGTCGCCAGAGGGTTGGATCGGCTCCGCGAGCAAGTCGGCGGAGGAGGGGAGGAAAGGCCCGGTGAAGGGGTTCGGTCAGGGCCGGCCGGTGGAGAGAGAGAGAATGGGGCGGTGGGTGGTGTAGCCAGTGGTCAGCACACTTGGCCGACCCTACTTCGCTAACTAGTTTAATGATATATGTTGAGCTACAAGCGCCTTGATTAATCGTTAACTAATGTTGGACCTCGTAGTGCAGCAGTACCAGCACCATCGCCAAGCAGCACCGAGGTACGCCAGGATGGGTCGGGAAAAGGGGTGGTGGCGCGGAAGACAGGAAGGGCGAAGGTTTCTACCGCAGCCTTACCCTCGTCGAATCCACTGCTCGTGAATTCGAGCGTGGCCAAACAGAAATCTAATCTCACTCAACGTATAATTTGATTTATGACTCGCGGCCGCACAGTAACGAAAGGAGAGCGGAAAAAAGGTCGTGAAAGACGGAAGAAGGAAGGAAGGAAGGAAGGAAGGAAAGAACGAACGAACGAACGAAGAAACGAAGGGAGGAAGGAAGGAAGAGGAAGAAAGGAAAGAAGGAAGGAATGGCCAATTCCAAGGCGTCGATGCAATTTGCTGGAGTGTCCATCGTTTTTTAGACGAGGGGAACGCGCGCGGAGAGCGCGCATGGTCCGTACGCAAATTTACGTCTCGCGAGATACGTCCCAAAACCCTCCTCAGCCTCCTCGAATTGAATTAACTCGGCGTCTTCCCCCGTCCATATTCCTGAGCTCCGCACGTGGAACATTGGTCATCCCTAATTCGCTTATGGCCCTCGATCAATTAAGTCGTCGGCCATTCGCGCAAATCCCAGTGACCCTCCCCCTCCTTTCCCTCCATTCTGTCCTCCTGCACTTGCCTCAAGATAAAGCTCTCGCTACGCATTATAACTGAATACGCTTATTACGAATATAAATCTGTGGCTGTCTTGTATTATTATACGCATTTTTATCTCGATAAATCAATTACTCTGATCAATTTGTCGTAATGTAAAACAATTTAGACTGAACGAAATTTGTTTTAATTATCAACCATAAAACAGATTTTCTTTGAAACCATTTCAATGTGATTCAACGGAGTAACGATATTTGCATTGCTTCGAGCTTACGAAAGTTTACGTTTAATATCACGTTCAATCGATTCAGAAATCGCCGATCATAGTTCGAGTATATCAGACGAATGCGGTTAACATATCACGTTACCGAAAACGTTTCGCGTGGAGAAGTGCAACGGTAGAGGGAAGGGTTGGAGAGGGGTGGC